GCAGGTGAAAACTGCAGGATTTCTCCAGAAAATCTTGGTGACATTTGGCTAAGATTCCTAAGGACACAAACCGTTAATAATTTGATACACTGAACTTTATCAAAATGAAATGTATAATATTATATATTTTATAATTAAACACTATATATTTTAAAATGAGGAGAATAAGTAAGCAAGCCTAGAATTGGAAAAGTACAAATTAGAACCACAGAATGGCATGCCAAGTACAGGCAAACCTCTTCTGAGATGGTGTGGGTTAGGCTCTGGATTGTGGCAATAAAGTAAATATGGCGGGCCTGGCGTGATAGCGTAGCGGTTAAAATCCTCACTGTTCCAGGATCCCATATGGGTGCTTGTTCTAATCCCAGAGGCCCCACTTCCTATCCAGCTCCCTGCTTGTGGCCTGGGAAAGCAGTCGAGGACGGCCCAAAGCCTTGGGACCCTGCACCCGTGTGGGAGACCCAGAAGCTCCTGGCTCTGGACAGGCTCAGCTCTAGCCATAGCGACTGCTTGGGGAGTGAACCATTGGATGGAAGATATTTCTCTCTGTCTCTCCTCCTCTCTGTATAGCCGCTTTTCCAATAAAAATAAATAAATCATAGGAAAAAAAAGTAAATATGGCAAAAATGCAAGCTTCCCAGTGTGTAGAAACACTGTTTATAACATGATTGAGTATACAACAGCATTATGTTCAAGAGACAATGTCTATCCTTTTTTTTTAAAGATTTATTTATTTTTATTTTTTATTACAAAGTCACATATACAGAGAGGAGAAGAGACAGAGAGAAAGATCTTCTGTCCGATGATTCACTCCCCAAGTGAGCGCAACGGCTGGTGCTGTGCCGATCTGAAGCCAGGATCCAGGAACCTCTGCCAGGTCTCCCACATGGGTGCAGGGTCCCAAAGCTTTGGGCCGTCCTCGACTGCTTTCCCAGGCCACAGGCAGGGAGCTGGATGGGAAGCGGGGCTGCTGGGATTAGAACTGGCACCCAAATGGGATCCTGGAGTGTTAAGGCAAGGACTTTAGCTGCTAGGCTACGGTGCTGGGCCCAACAATGTCTATCCTTAAGCGAAAAATACTTAATTGCTAAAAAAGAAAAAAATCACTAAAGATCTTGTTGAGAGGAAAATGGGGCCTCTAGGCTTGCTTGAGGCAAAGTTGTCCCAAGGCCTTCCATGAGTGGTATCTGCCTAGCAGGGTAAAATGAAGTGTGTCTGTACAGGCAAGGATCTGGATTCAGCCAGTTCTTGTACTCTGCTGCTGGGAATACAAAATGGTACAACTACCTGGGAAAACAGTGATATCTCTGAAGGTTCTACCAACATTCACTGTACAGTCTAGCACTTCCTCTTCTGGTGTTTACTCCAGAGACTCCCATGCAAATATTCAGAGCAGTCTGAACTGGAAACAATCCGACTGTGCCTGCAAGGGAAACACACCTCTCAGTGATCCCTGCAGCAGAATACTGTGCAGTAAAAATGAACACACTTCTCAGACACCCAACAACAGGGATGAACCTCAGAAGTATTATTTTATGAGACAGAAGCCAAATACAAAATACATCCATTCATGGTGTTAGGAAGAGGGAGTGGCTGGAAAGAGGCATGGGAACCTGTTTGGAGTGATGGTAAGAAAATGCTTTATCGCATGACTGGCACTGAAGCTCAGACCCAGCCTACTACCTGGAAAAATACTCCATTCTGCAGCCCAGGTGAGTGGCAGGAGCAAGGTGAGCCCAGCTGACTCCAGCTGAGGACACAGTGCTCTGAGAAGCCCTGGGGTCTGCAGCCTGGGACCCTTGTTGGTCATTGTGGCCACAGACAAGAAGTCCTGGAAGCAGAGCAAAGGAGAGTGGAAATAGGCAGGAACTGGCCTGCTGCTTCTGGGCTTGCTTATCCCAAATCTTGGGAGAAATGCTTCCCCAGTGCCTGCCTCCCAATGCTCAGGCAAGCTTCTTTCAGGCCAATTGTAACCAGGTTGAAACTATACAGCAGGGAATTCTGGCTACCCACCCAGCTTGATTCAGTGGACAGAAGAACCAACCTCCCACCCCCCCCACACACACACAAAGAGAAAATTTAAAACTGGGTCTGGCACTGTGTCCTAGCAGCTAAAGTCCTTGCCTTGAACACCCTGGGATCCCATATGGGCGCCAGTTCTAATCCAGGCAGTCCCGCTTCCCATCCAGCTCCCTGCTTGTGGCCTGGGAAAGCAGTCGAGGACGGCCCAAAGCCTTGGGACCCTGCACCCGCGTGGGAGACCCAGAAGGGGCTCCTGGCTTTAGATCAGCGCGGCACCGGCTGTTGCGCTCACTTGGGGAGTTAACCATCAGATGGAAGATATTTCTGTTTCTCCTCCTCTCTTTATTTATCTGACTTTGTAATAAAAATAAATCTTTTAAAAAATTACAAAAAAGAAAAGAAAACATAAAACCATCTTTCATTACCAGCTACTTCTTTATGGGAATGAGTTTTCTTAGTGCTACCTCAGTAAAAATGGAAAATATATATATATGGTAATTAACACTGTATTTTTTTAGCCTGGATACAAATAACAAAAATTCAATCATTAATACTGATTGAAAGAATTACCAATCCTACCTATCCCATTGTATGGAGTAATGAAGAATTTTTCATGCTTACTATTTATTGACACTTGATAAATATATATGCTACTACTCTAATGCACGCTAATAATAGAAAGGAAAAAACAGTCTTCCAAAAATCTCAAAAAATTTTAAAGTTCTATGTTGTGTATAGCAATGCATAACAGAAAGGGAGGTAGGGAAAATAGCTTATATTGTAAACAAATTTCATTAGGATAATGCTCCATGTGAATATAGATTGATTAAGAGAAAAAGTAATATGGGATTTCCTCTTTTTTTAAACTTTTTAAATTTATTTTTATTGGAAAGTCAGATGCATAGAGAGGAGGAGAGACAAAGAGGAAGATCTTCTATCTGATGGTTCACTCCTCAAGTGGCCACAATGGCCAGAGCTGAACCAATCCAAACACAGGAGCCTCTTCTGGGTCTCCCACGCGGATGCAGGGTCCTAAGGCTTTGGGCCGTCCTTGACTGCTTTCCCAGGCCACAAGCAGGGAGCTGGATGGGAAGCAGGGCAGCCAGGATTAGAACCGGCATCCACATGGGATCTCAGCATGTGCAAGGCTAGGACTTTAGCTGTTAGGCTATTGCACCAGGATCTCTGTTTATTTTTTTAAAAATACATTTATTTATTTTTCTTGGAAAGTAAGAATTACACAGAGAAGGGCGGACAGAAAGAACTTCCATCTGCTGGTTCATTGAGCCAACCTGAAGCCAGGAGCTTCTTCTGGGTCTCCCATGTGCGTGCAGAGTCCCAAGGCTTCTTGCCATAAGCAGGGAGCTGGAATCTAAGTGGGGCAGCTGAGATACAAATCAGCGCCCACATGGGATCCTGGCACGTGCAAGGCAAGGACTAGCCACATCTCAATAAGCAAAGCAAAGCAAGAACAACTTCCACGCTACCATGCTTTTCATTGTTTTACACGGAACCCTGCTGTGTTAGCAAGGGTAGTTCTGCAGGTGTGTCGCGGGGTTCCCACTCTGCATTTCCATGTTGCAATCACTGTTATTTCCTCTCCACCTGAATGCCCACAGTGTAGGAGGCTTTTTAAGTTGAGAAGACAACCTTGTCTCCCCAGAGGACAAATCCTCCCCTTTGCTTTCTGAGGCGGATAGCAACCCCAGGCCACCGATGGACCGGGGCTTGCGCAAGCCTCAAATCCAGGGAGGGTGGCTCTGTGCAGGTGAGGCGAACCACCCTGGCAGCCCCAAACCACCATCTCCGACCACAGCTTGGCTCCACAAAACCCTCAACACTATTTTCTGTTATGTACACATTTCTCCTTACCTGCAAAACACCAAAACTCATCTCTAAAGTAATGACTGCTTGGATAGGAGAAAAGAGACCTGATTTCAACATGCAGCAGAAACACCATTTTTTGTCTCTTCAGAGAAATACCTATTTTTATTAACATCATCAAACTTACACCTTTAGTTACCATAAAACTCCCAAAGGGCTTCAAAACAAGTAATCTTTTACATTGAAAAAAACAAAAATCTCTTTAACATATTTTGTCATTTGTCAATATAAAGCTTACATTTAAAAACATACATAAGGAAACTTTTTTTCTGAGCTACCATGTTGTTTACTCTTAGGAACAGTATAAAGTTAAAACTGTCAAATACCAGCTTTACAAAACATTAGCCTAAAGGCATGTTGCCCGTTATAAATGAGACAGGGGTACAGGTTCAGACAATCCAGCATCCCACTGTCTATACTTGTCCAACAGTTTCATTGGGAATCCATTTTCGTCTGGAGGCAGGGATGCATGTTGCATTTGACCCCCATATATGGTAACGGTAGACCCCAGTACTCCATCATTATACATTTCCATAATTGAGAAACCATGAAACAAGGTCAAGGAAACTGTTTTGTCAGGTGTTTTCAGCAGTTTGAATATGGTTTGGATACGGTTGGTTATGTTTGAATATGGTTGGACACAGAACAGGAAATCGATGCCGTTGGAAATCAGCCAGGTTGCCCACGTGGGACGCCAGGCAAGTTTTAACAAGCCAGCTTACCGTCCTAGGCGGTCACCTTCGGATCTGCAGGCCGACCCATTGTGCTTACCAAAGGGCCACCTGCCCACGTGGCTGGACGTTCGGCGCCCTGCGCTCCCCAGGTGGCGTCCGGAACCCTCTCTGGGCGAGGCATTCCAAGAGCCAGAACCCCGGTCCTCATCCTTCGGAGGCAGTAGCGCTGAGGGAATTCCGGACGCCTCCAGGTGTGCCAGGTTTGGATGGTGAGCGTCGCCAGACCTGAACAGGAGTCCCTGGGATTACCAGAGACCTATCCACCGTCCCCACTCCCAGCATCCAGCAGGTGCCACTCCCACCTGGCCTCACCCTGGAGAACGGGGAGAACCGGTCTTCCCTTCCACCCTCTTCCGAACAACCGAACAGCGGGCAGGATTCTAGCGGGCACCCGGTGGCGCCCCCCGAGGGGCGGGGAGGTCTGAAATGGCGACGGCGCAGGGTCCGAGGGTCACTCTCCCTGGCGCCCTTGACTGGGTACCGCCGCCGCGCCACCTAGCTTGCTGAAGGGCGGGTGCCGGCGCGCAGGGATGGGAGTGAGCAGTGACGAGCGGTCAGCAGGACCAATGAGAACCTCGGAAGTACAGGCCCCGTCCAATCAGTGTCCGGATAGCGGAGACAAGGGTAGGTTGCGAGCGAACGGCGCGTGTGGCGGACACGGGACGCCGAGGACCTAGCCTGCTTGGCTGCGGGGCCGGGCCCTTCCTCCTCGCCGCCTGCCGCGCGTCCTGCACCACAGCTCCCGCTGTGCCCTGGAGGACGCCGAGGAGCGCCAGGCGCAGGGCCGTCCCTGCGGCGGCTGCCGCCAGCGGACTCCGGGCTCTTCCTTAGCGGTCGCCGCAGAGGGATGAGGAGAGGCTCGTGACGGGGAAACGCGCTCGGGGCCGGCCAGGTGGACGCGGCCTACGGCCGGCCGGCCGGCTGCCTGCTCCCGGGCGCGTTGCTTGCAGCGCCCGCGGTGGACATGTTCCCGCGGAGGCCGCCGGCCTCCCTGGCCGCCTGGCTGGCGGGCGCGCGGGGCGGGAGCCTGCTGGGCCTGCTGGCCAATCAGTGCCGCTTCGTGACGGGCTTGCGCGTGCGGCGCGCGCAGCAGATCGCGCAGCTCTACGGGCGCCTCTACTCGGACAGCTCGCGCTGCGTCCTGCTCGGACGCCTGTGGCGACGGCTGCGCGGCCGTCCCGGCCATGCCTCTGGCTTGATGGCGGCGCTCGCCGGCGTCTTCGTGTGGGACGAGGAGAGGATCCAGGAGGAGGAGTTGCAGAGGTGAGTTGCAGAGTCGTCTGTGGGCGGCGGGGGTCCCCGGGGTCGGGGCGGGTGTTCGAACTTGGATACCCTGCATGCAGCCTGCCGTGTCGGTGGGCAGTGGTCGCCCGTTTTACCCGATGGTCCTTGAAGCGGGCACGCAGTGGGTTGAACCTGCCTTAACAAACAGCCTTGTCTATTGCCTGTGCTTAAGTTGATTTGTCAGGGTAGAAATAAGAACTGGAAGCGCAGGTTAGGGTGGGAGCCGGGAGCTTCGATGGAGTGGCGTGACATGAAAAGGCAAGATTGACATTCTAGATGGAAGGCTGGGAAACTGTTGTTCACCTGCTTTTCAAACACACCCAGAATGGTGCAGATCCGCGGCAGGTTTTTATTTAGATCTGCGGGTGTGTAGGCCTGCAGTGTGTGGCGCTCCAGATGGGATCCAGGCCTGGTGAGAAAACACCCGCGGAGCTCTCTGTCGCCGGCTGCCCGCTGGCAGAATTAAGAGGCTGAAAAGGATTTTTGCCCTTTCTTGCACAAATTAGCAGCCCAGACATTGTGAACTGGAAGAATGGGGTGAGGTTTGTGCCGTTTGACCTGCACCTTCGGGGATACTGTGTTGCTAGGTGCTAGTCGTGCTGTTTTCATCCACTGTCTTGTGAAAAGCCCACTGCCACGGATTGAATGTGTCCACCTGCGGTTCCGAATGTGAAACCTCAGGGGAGGAAATGTTTTCTTCAGCTCTTGTTTTAGAAGGTGTTTTCTTTTTAAGAGACATGCAAGCTAAAGTTGACAGTTTGTGATTGTAAGAACCAGAGATGGTCTCCTCTCCCAGACAGACCTCACTTGGGTCTGTGTGTCCATTCTGGGTGTTCTTTGGCATGGAGAAAAATCTGTTAGTCAACGTATTTTGGTTAGCTTAGCTTAAAAGTAGAAATACTCCCGTAAAATAGGTAAGCCACATTTAGGAAGTGGAGCAGCCAGATGCTATCTGTGCAGGATTAGGGTTAGGGGCTAAATGGAAGTCTGTCTTAAGAACAGGAAAGACTGCCCATAGCAGGAAAGGCGACTTTCATAGATGCAGTTTAAAATCTTCACCATAAACACCCATGTTCATGAAAAGGGTAAGCTATTAAAGCGTGATGGTTACCACGTCTAGTTCTTGGTAACATTTGCGTGCTTCTTGGTCATCTGTTCTCATCAAGTAGTCTCAGGTGTAAGAAATAGAAGAATGGAAAGGAAGTGTTTTGAATAAGGCTTATTTGAAAGATAGAGTTACAGAGAGAGAGGTCTGCAGTCTGTTGGTTCATTCCTCAAACGACCATCATGGCTGGGGCTGGGCCAGGCCGAAGCCAGGAGCTACACCCAGGTCTCCGACAAGGGTGGCCAGGGCGCAGTCTTGGGGTCATCCTGCACTGCCTTCCAAGGAACAGTAGCAGAAGGCAGCTGGGTGGGGAGCGGAGCAGCCCCTCCATGGACCAGAGCTCTGTTGTGGGATGCTGACTTCACCCTCTGTACCACAGTGCTGGCCCTGGATGTAAAATATCTTTTAAAGAAGATTTACTTATTTATTTGAAAGTCAGAGAAGGGGAGACCTCATCCATCCATTGGTTCACGCCCCCTACAAATAGCTGCAATGTCAAGGGCTGGGCCAGGCCTGAGCCAGGAGCTTCTTGGGGGTCACATGGGTAAGAAATTATCAGCTGTTTGAATTTTTTTTCTTTTTGATGAGATACTCATATATTACAGTGGTTAAGTTGACAAAAAAAAAAAAAAATCCTCAGTTTGTTCTAGCCGGGAAAGTGCTGGGTGCAAAAGAAGAAGGAGTGTTTGTGAGTGCGGGTTGAACAGCCTGGGGCTTAGGTGGTAGCACGCGCACTGTGGCTTGCTACATGCACTTTGATGGATGTGTCTCCTAGGGCCTGTGTTTAGCAGTAAAGGTTTGCTAGGAGGAGGAAATAAAAGACAGAAAGGGAACGGGCATCATTTGAATCAAGGAGATTAGACCAGTTGAAACTGGAGCTAAATTTCACTCTGTTTACCAGCCTTCTGGTGGGAAAGTTGGAGTACACTTAGTTGAAAACCAACTAAATAGGCATTGTTTCTGGGTCAATTCCAGTTTCCAAATTTCAGAAGTTTAGCTGCTAGTCTGCGACAACACTTAAAGCTGCATGTTGACTCTCCCGGGTTGTTAAAGGTTCTCATTTGACGCTTCGCTGCCCAGTTCACATTTGATAGAGAAATAATAAGCAAGAAAACTATAAGGGAGTCTTTAAAATTTTCATGAAAATGTGTTTTATAAAATGCTTTTGGGGCCCATAGTGGTGGTGGTATAACACAGTGCCCTTCCACCTGTGACATGGGCATCCCATAAAGGTGCTGGTTCAAGACCTGGCTGCTCCACTTCCAATCTAGCTTCGTGTTTCTGGCTTGAGCAAGCGGTAGAGGATGGCCCAAGTCCTTGGTCCCTGCACCCATGTGGGAGACCTAGAAGAAGCCCCTAGGTTCTAGCTTCGAACTAGCGTAGCTCTGGCCTTTGTGACCATTTGGGGAGTAAACCAGTGGATGGAAAACCAATCTCTCTCTCTCTGTAACTCTAATTTTCAAGTAAAATAAATAGCACCTAAAAGAACAACAATAGAAAAAAGAGCTGTGCATGAATTTCAGGACTTGGCACCAAAATAGGCTTATTTTTTTTTTCTTAAAGATTTATTGTATTTTTTCATTGGAAAGTCAGATATACAGGGAAGAGGAGAGACAGAGAGGAAGATCTTCCATCTGCTGATTCACTCCCCTAGTGGCTGCAATGGCTGAAGCTGCGCTGACCTGAAGCCATGGCACAAGAAGCTTCATCCAGGTCTCCCATGCGGGTACAGGGTCCCAAAGCTTTAGGCCGTCCTTGACTGCTTTCCCAGGCCACAAGCAGGGAACTGAATGGGAAGCAGGGCTGCTGGGATTAGAACTGGTGCCCATATGGGATCCTGGTGCATGCAAGGCAAGGAGTTTAGCCACTAGGCTACCGCACCAGGCCCAGGAGACTTACCTTTTAATTCCATTTTTCTTTGAACGTTTTAAGGCCTTGTTGTACATTTTGATGATGTCATAGTTCTTTGGAACTTTTCGTGTTAGTATTTTGTTGAATAAAACATTCTGAGTAGAGGTTAAGTTTTTTTTACTTGGTGTTAAAGTATTAACTTTAAAGTAAACATTACTGTAAGTCAGTCAAGGGAAGTAAGCACAGCTGCTTCAGAACATGGTGGGTTCTGTTTCTGAGACGATTGGGGTAACTTCCAGAATGGAGCACAGTTCTATCTTGAGTTGAGTGCACTTCCACTGTCCCATGTCCCCTAAATCACACCCTTTGGCTTATCTGTGCAGTTTTTGTACCAGCTTGGCCTGGCACAAGCTAATTGTGTTGGTGTCTTGGTGAGTTGGGGATGGAATGTGAAAGGTATGTTTTTGGACATGTGCCTCAAAGTGACCTGGGTTTTTCTTATGTAAGTAATGTAACATGTTCATTTGAGTTTCCGTTCAGAATGAGAAACAATCACCTTGCTTGCTGTGTGCGTCAGAACATCCCTGCCAAGTGAGATCCTGCGTACAGATCAGGCAGCAGTCAGAAGACCTGAGACAAGCAGCAGTCTATACAGAGTGATTTTCACTGACTGCTGAGGCCACATGAAGAAATCTGATCTGTTAATACTTGTTCTAGTAGTCTTACCAGTTGGCTTCAATGAAACAGTCAAACAAAATAGCTTCAGTACTATTTTTGGTGCTTACTGGCATTCTGTAAGCCCAGGGCAAATCTTATGGAAAAATACAGCAGTACAATTTGATTGCTTTGGAACAGTTTTAAAAAAAAATTACAGGAACAAAAAGAGGAAGGATGTTAAGAAATAAAGGCTGGGAGAAACTGCTCTATTAACCTCTTTTTTTTTTTTTTTTTCTTTTTTTTAAGTTACAGTTCATTGCTCCCAAATTTGAGTAAGTGCCAGTAAAGTTTCACAAGGAAAACTGGCTGTTTTCCCATTTCTGGCTTCCAGGGCATTCAGAATATGTGTAATTTATGTTATTAACTGGATATAAAAGTCCTTTTGGCTTAAAGGTTTTTTTAACTAGTTGCCCTGGAACTGCCATGAACTAGTTGGTGTCCCTACTTGGGTGCTGCATTACTAGTGCATGGGAGTCCCTGGCTGGCATTAGTTTGAAATTGGATGAAGTGACGTATTTTGAGTGAAGCATTTTGTCTTATTGAAATCCCTAGTTGCAGGAATGGCTTCATTTGAGTCATTTTGGACCTTTGTCGCAAGCTCTGTGCTGAGGACAAGCTCCCCAGATAAGCTGAGCCCTGGTATTTTGTGTGGTAGGCCTTCAGTTCCCATAGCTTCCAGGCCAGCCTTCCTAAAGCGGGGTGACAGCTTGCCTTTCAGAAAAGGGGAAACACTGACCGTCTTTCATCCTTTGGTTAATCTCATCTCGTTGCTATTATGGGAATAATCTCTTTTGTCCTTCCACTCCTCTCCTTGTTCCTTAAGTCTCAGTGACGGGAAGGTTTAGTCACTCAGCCACCCAGAGATTTGGCACAGCAGGCCGAAGGGTTGTGTGCTGAGATGGTGTGAGGCTTTGCTTGTCTCCACACGGAGGGTAGCGAGTGACTCTGTGCTGTTGTATGCCAGCCGTGGCCGGTTGTCCTGGTAGCATTACAAGGTGAGGCCTTCCAAGGATATTTAAACCTTGGGACAAAGTAGCCACACTGCTCCTGTCCTCCTCTGGGCTGCAGTCTTGCTCCAGCATTCGTGAGTGCTTTTCAAAGAACCGAATGTTTTGCCGTCACGAGTCATCATCCATCGCTCTTCAAGGACTTGGTCTCATCATTTTAATCAAGGCCGCCCAGTCATCTTTAATTATATAGGAGAGCCTGACTAAGGAGTAAATCAGAAGTTCTGTGTCATTTTGGCTCTTTGAAGACCATTAAAAATTATCGCCAATGGTCATTAATTTTCTTAAAACCTTACTAT